TTTCTAATATTTTTAGTAGTGATAAAATAAAAATACATTATGAAAATAACAAACAAAATTGTAGTTAAATAAATATATAAACCTTGTGAACAAACAACATTACAATTACAATGTATTAAACGTTATTAGTTTCTATGTTTTCATCCATTTAAATCAATAGACTTTTTTTCGCTTAATGCTAAGCTAATGTAGTTTAAATACTTGTTTGAAGAAAAAAAAAAGGATAACTTTGGAAATTAAACATAAATAATTTGAAAACATGAAAAAAAAAATCACTTTATCACATTATTTAGAAATACAAAAACATACATAAATATAAGGAAATTAATCTTTTAACTTGAAACATTATTAACTTTGCATTGGATTATTCAACATTTATGTTTATTCTCCGTTTATGACATTCAACTTTTTACCGGATAAACTTGGTTACCAAATGTTTCTAAATATTATTCCCGTTGCCTTGATGTTCGATAGCTATCAAGTGACTTTAATCTTATATATTCCCTGCTCTGCCCGAATTAGTTTTGAAATTGAAAAATATATTTTGAGATACATAAATTCTTTACATTGTTATAGTGTTTTCTTTTTACTTTTTTTTAAATATATATATATATATATATATATATATATATAAATTTATTTTTATAACTATTTTACACTTGTATTATAAGTCAAATAAATGTAAAAATGATCACTATACTGTTATTCTTTCAAGTTAGACTCAAAACCAAATTTTAAGAATATGTGCCAAAAAAAATTATTATTATGTTATTTCTTTTAAAGGAATAAAGTAAAATAAAATAATAATATTGGTAGCAAAAAAATCATATTTTAAAGATAATAAATATTTAAATAATCTAAATAAACCTCTTTGACGGACATATTATTCCATTATTATAATTACAATTACAAATAAAATATACTGCAGAATCCCTTTATTTGTTTTGTTGGTTTCTCTATTTTGTGTTGGTGTTTTTCTTAGATATGAATTTTGTATGAATCTCTTCATCCCAATATTTTATATCCTGAGTACTCCCATAAGCCCTGCTCCACATGCAAAAGCATAGCAAATTAGCCAAATTTAGAATGAAAAGTAGGCCATAGTAGTAATCATAGTGTCCTCTGTTAATATTTGATGCTAGCCAACTATCTTTTCCTCCATTCTTCGTTCCATCTTTCACAACCTTCACAATCAGGCTTCCGACCAAGTTCCCTACTCCAAGGCCAAGGGTACACAGCGAAACAGCAACACTGGACATCGTTTTCGGAAACTGAGAGTAATAAAACTCAAGTTGTCCGATGAAATTAAGACCTTGCGCTAAACCATATAGGCAGAATTGTGGCACCAACCACATGGCTGTCATGTTCACCACTCCTTTCTGGTTGTCCAAAAACCCTTCCTTTATTGCTTCATTTCTTCTCTTCTTCTCTACCAATGTCGCCACCATACTAGCCAAGCATGAAATCACTAACCCAATTCCCATTCGTTGTTTTACAGTGAGTACTCGCTCCTTAGGGAGCAATGGAAGTAAAATTCGATCATACAAAACCACCCATAGGGTCAAAGTCACGAATATAAATGCAGCGAAGTTGGTCGGTGGGATTTCCATATTCAACACCACTCTGTTCATGGTTTCTGCTTGAATCACTGAAAATGATTGTTGGCTTATGGTAGTAGCAATTATTATGCCGGTAGACCAAATCGGAAGGACTTTGATTATGGCTTTCAATTCCTCTACTTGTCTCACTGTACACACACTCCATGGCTCTATGGCCATCCCATCACAGTCCAAATCTTTCTCTTTGTTCTTTATCATGCAAGCCTTGTTCAAGAACCTCCGTAGAGACAACAAACCAACGAAATTTATTATTTATTATTTATTATTAAACACACAATACAAAGAAAAAAGCAAGATTCTCACATGAAATTTGTTGTATGACTAACTACTATACATACCTTACTTTGTCTGTAGGTTGAACAAAATTAGAGCCATTGTGGAAATACCAAAGGTCGGAGTTCTTTGGAGGTAAAGGTAAGTGTCTGTTTTTCCAAGCTGCTGCAATCACTTGGGCAAAGCCCGTGAACAGGCTCTTGTTTGGTTTCACTCTGATATATATGGAAGAACCCAGAAAAAACAAGATAGCTGAAAATGACATAAGCCCCGTCGAAATTCCAAAACCCACAATCCACCCTGTCTTAACTTGAATATACACTATAAATGTCATTGAAACCGTTACGGAAAGGCCAACCGAAACATAATACCAATTGAAGAAACTCTTCATGGTACTCTCGTTTCGTGAGTTTTCAGGGTTGTTGATTTGATCGGCAGTAAAGGCTAAGGTACACGACCTAATTCCAGCGGCTCCAAGAGCCATGAGAATCAGTGAAGAAAAAAGAATCAGGAGTTGAGATCCTGTTGGGTTTGCACAAGGTTCTATATCACACTGAGGCCTTGCATGCCTGATAATAGCAGTGAGCCACAACACAACTAAGCCCTGCAAAGAAGATAAAAACCAAGACGAAGGAAATTCAGGCAAGTTTTGATGCACTACGCACCAAATATAACTGATAAGGAGCTGAATTTCAATGGTTTAAGAGTGTGGTTGTAATGGCTTACAACAAGGTGTATGACTGTTCCCAGTGCAACAACAGAAAATCGTCCGAGCCAACAGTCAGAAAGGAAAGCACCAAAGATGGGCAAAAAATTTGTGAAGGCACTCCACAGGAATATTACAATGGCTGCAGTTGCAGGTTCAAAATGGTACTCCTGTAGCAAGTACAATATCATGTTTACACGAAGCCCCACTATTGCAATCTTTTCAAAGGTCTCATTTGCTAAAATAAGAAGATGGTAAATCACACCTTGGTTAGAACTCCTTTATTTCACTGGCAGTAACACAAGATTGCGCAAAAAGAAAAAACATTTGATACATATTGTTTGATATAAAAACGGTCATCACCTATGATTAAGGGAACGGTTCTGAAACCACCCCTTTTCCTTTCAACTGGTTCAATGCCTTTATTCTGCTCCATTGGTATCACCCTTCTTCTTCTGCTACATGGAAAGGTTACACACAAAATATAATTGAAGTCCGTTACTACAACAGAAAAACTTTAGTTTACATAAACTCAGACTTATGTATTATAGTAATTTGTTGTCGCAGCTCAGTTATAGAAGGAGATGAGTATTTGTTGTTGCAAACAACCAATAATTTTCTTATAAAGGAAAACAAAATTATAATTAGCACACAAAAATACTAAACCATTTAGTTGGTCATAGGAAGTATATGAAATGGGATTCAATTGGTCTTGATTCTCTGTGGCATCCATCTTGAAGTGAAAAATACGTTGTGGTATCGTATATGTGACTCGATCGAATGAAAGGGTAATTAACTTGTCACACGGCGGATCAAGGTTTCAAAGGGTGAAAACAAAATGTCATTTCAAGTGTGATGGATTAACTTTATTTTTTAATTGTCAATTTGATAAAAATAATCTTGACAAAATTGATTTTGTAAGAGCCTAAAAGATAACGTCTTAGAACTCATTATCTATTATAAACAACGATAATTAATTATTTTAATATAAAAAATTTAACGTAAAAATAAAATTTTTATTATTGAGTTTTATTATATAAAAACATGTTATTTTTCTAAAACTTTTTTTCTAAATATTTAGGTGCAAAAAATAACCATATTTTTGTTAGCGCAGTGCTAGTGAGAAAAAAAAAAAAGAAAACCTTCCCCAAAAATATGAGTCTTATTAAGGAATTGAAATAAGAATTTTTTTCTTAAAAATATATGAATAAATTTAAAAATGTTAAAAATGTGTTTTTATGTATTTTGGTAAAAATTCCCTATTAATCCCTTAATCAGTGTGATAGTGCATCTATCACAAATAAATGAATATAAATTTCCTTCATGTATAATTATTATCTTTGTTTGGTCCAATTTACGACTCAGTGGCTCTGATATTCAAACTGCAATAATTTTTTATATGTTTAATTTTTTTAAAGAATCCAATAAAATTGTTCAATCTCCCATTTCTAAAAAATAACCCTTTTAAAAAAAACTTAAAAAATCAAAATAGTCATAGTGTGTCATCGAATATTTTTAGTACCGATGAAATTAAAATACATTATGAAGATAGCAAACAAAAATGTAGTTAAAATAAATATATAAACCTTGTAAAAACAAGATTACTATTACAGCGTATTAAACGTTAAAATAACTACAAATAATACTTATTAGTTTCTGTATTTTCATCTATTTAAATCAATAGACTTTTTTCACTTAATGGAAAACTAATGTACTTTCAATACTTGTTTGAAAGAAAATAATAAAAGATAACTCTAAAATTTAAGCGTAAAGAATTTGAAAACATGAAAAAGAAAATATAAAAGGAGATGTAAAAATCAGAATAACGAAGATATAATTTAAATAAAATAAAATTATAAAAATAAAATTTTAGAAAAGAAAAAATGTTAACAAGAATTTTAGAGGTACAACATTATATCATATATCGATGATAAGATAATGAATTAATTAGTTATTATATATAAGCAATACGATTATATACTAATATAACTTTTAATATTCTGTTAATACTTATTTTTTAATAAAAAGGTAATTTTTTTATCAGACCATTAAAATATAATTGTAAGATCATGATTATTCATATAGTTTTCTTTATACTTATTCATATAATTTTTCAAAAAATTAAACATCAGAGACCCACACAAAAGCATAATGTTATTCACATAGGAGAAGTTCTCGTCATCTTTCCACCCTACAAACATCCTTCCATAAGAAAAGGAAAACAAATAAAAAGAAAACTTCACATGTAGGAATCTAATCACGTATCTACGAGTTAATGTTATAAAAAATATATTTGGATACACAAATTTTTTACATTCATTTATTTATTTTTATTATTATTTTTTAAAAATACAAAAAAATTACTTTTTTTAATGATGATTTTATTTTTGTAACATGTATAAAATAAATGTAAATATATGTCATTTATCATTATTCTTAATCTTATGTACAAGGCACTTGGATATACAGTTCACGAAGAACCTAAAATGAAAGTATCAACGAATCAAATATTGTGAAGTTCATCTATGTCTTCCCGCACCAGCTGTACTCTCAAAATCTTCTGTTAATTCATTTCCCAAGCCTGCAGTACCAGAGATTTAGTAACTGTCAATGGAAAGCTCTATCATTACAGTTTCCTTTATATCTGATTTGGAACTTGGAAGACAATGTACAAATGCCTACACAGACGGTGAATTGATGACAAAATAAAAATGCAGGACTTTGAACTCTAATAAGTGAGCCAGAGTAAAATTTCAATCGTTTAATAATTGAATAAGGTAAGAAGTAACCTGAATTTGTCCATCTGAAGTTCCAATTACCAAAACTTCTTCATTCCTGTCTAGAGCCATGCAATTGACCCTACAATTGGTACCCATTTGCAACGTGTCAACTTTACTGCTTTTCTTCTTATCCCAAATTTCCACAGTACCTCCTTTGCACCCCAGATAAATCAATCCTGAGCTCACTGCCATAGTCCGCACTTCAGATCCAGTTTGCAGTGATCCAACCATACTGTAACTGGAACTGTTCCATATCTTGACATTTATATGTGCATCAGTTAGCTAACTATGATAATGGTATGTCATCTTTAAAATTAACACCAAGTAGCTTATACATTTTCTGCCCTTCGGAATTCAAAATATCATGAAACCAGGGGTTTCTAGCTAGAACTTTAACTATTTTTTACCATTCTACATACTGCTAAATCAAAACGAGTCTAAGATACCTTTATAGAAGATCCATCCATGGAAGAGCCGGCTGCATATATAAGTTCACCATGAATTTGTATTGCATGAATAGGGTTTGCTTTCGCAAGTAATCTTTTATAACCACTTTGAATAGTGTTGACTGTTCCAGTGGCCAAATGTATCTCCTGATATATCAGGTGAATATTATTGCAAGAATGTTGATATAGCATCCATTAGACTGTCTCACACTTAAAAAAACTCTATACCTGAACACTGCTGTCATGGCATCCACAATATAACTTCCCATCAACATGAGTCAAACACTTCACATATTTGCTAGAATTTAACACTTTTGACTCTCCATTCAGTGTCTGAACCTGATGAGAAAGCCAAGTAATTTCAGTAGAAAACAATGCTGGGGAGTTTGTTTTCAATCACATAATCAGTCACATGGGAATAAAATAAAGTAAACGGTACAACTTGCAGATCAGAGCAAAGTAAAGAGCACAATGTTTTATACTACGGTTGAGTGTGACAGAGGCACTGATAATAAGGAGACTAGTGTTATTTTACACTCTAGATTGTATAAAAGAAGTGATCAGACTCTCTCAGCACCATTCAAATAAGAACATGCATTCATAGTTTAAGAGTACCTTGACACCGGCGCCCTGCGGAACGAAACAAGCTAAGCTATTGGTTACAACTAAATTATGAATCTGGTCCTTCATATCATACACCTGTACACAATGTATTGCTGCTTTTCCAATGGACCAGACCTGTTATTTAATGAAACAAACCCCTTTTTAGCAGACGGCTTGACATTGAAGCTAGAGTAACTACCTAAAATTTTACCTTTGAAGTTCGGTCAAGTGAACCACTTTATAGCCTGTCACCAGACTCTGAAATCACCAAGTTTGTCACTGCTTTAGTATGTTCTTGGATTTCTTGCAACAGATGGAATAAATTATTCTTTAATGTCCAGACCTTCAGAAGTCAGAGTATTTTCCAGTCAGTTCATATTACAGTAAGGTTGTAGTTTGCAACCAATACAGGAACGTATTTCGCAATGATAGTCATGACTAAGAATTTATAGATCTATTCAACCTTTCAAGCATGTAGCAGAGAACACCACATAAAGTCCACTCCATTCTGCTATACATATATCTACATTTATACTTATTTAGATCTATCTTAGAAGCACGTTGCACCTAATTCTCATTTATTGTAATTGCATAAATTGACAGATCAATAATGATTTATTTTCTAGACAATCTAGGGAAACAAATATTGGTTTCTACAAAAAAGGACATTTAAATAAACTACAACAGCTTTAGGAAATATGTCTCTGTTCACACTTAAAATCCTTATTCATTAGAATTCACAGAACATGTAAAATTTTAATCTGATCACCTTAATCGTCCCATCTGTATGACCAGAAAATATTTTATCCTTAAAGCACGTGACAGACACCACCTCTCCATTTTCGCTGCAGTCTTCTTTTATGAGCTCTTTATGTATCCATATGTCCTGTTCCAATGGAGAAATTTAAATAATCCACAATGCCTGATTGCCTGTACTAGAAAATGGGTTAAGAATACAAGAACTTGCCGCTTTAGATTCATTTTCTTCAACCAGAGATTTTAGCATTTTAGATGCCAAGGGACAGGATCTCTTCAGCTCTCTCAATCCTCTTAAGATATCCTTAGTGTAGGAAGTTAGATCACCTAAGCCTTCTGAAATTCACAATATAACGTATCATCACCCTTTTTCTATTTTGCATAACAATGACTTGCAGGAATTCGAAAACATAAATATATAGAAAGCCTCGTATCATGTAGAAGGAAAATATTTTGAACTTTTTCATTCCCAATAATAGACCAAGAAAGCATCCAATATTAATATAGATGATATCTGATCTAAATCAACGCTGAATTCTGTAACTTCAGTGGCTTATCATGCTTCGAGGAACTGCTTATCAGCGCTTACTCCTTCGTTTTTAGACAAGATTACTGCTACCACATTTTGAAATGATGATTGTAAGCTGTAAGTTCTAATTAATGGCTTTGTGAACCTTACCAGGGAACTGAAGAAAGCTATTGAGAGCAACCATAGAAAGGATTCTGTCTTCTACATCCCGAGCCGAATTAAATTTAGCTATGAACTGCTTCAGCAAACAAGCACGAGCTGGTACTTGTATACCTGTATCCGGTAGAATGCTCAACATGTACGTGAGCCAGGTAGCTGATATAAAGCATGCTGATCGTAGTTCTGTATTTCGGCTCTTCATGCCATCAGCTAAAGCCTCAAAAATAGTGCCAAATTCATGGCTAACTAGAACATATGCAATTCTTCTTTCCGAATCATCAGCTGCCTTCTCGTCTTCCTGTTGATGCCAAACAAAAAATAAGGCATCAGAAAAAATATTTGGCAAGGAGAAAGCACAAAGTCAAAATAGAAGAAATGTTTCAAAAGACTTTACTGGAGTTATATCAATTTCTGGACTGGAGTTGCTAATCTGATGGCCCACCAGTACAAGATTTCTGGAACTTTTGTCAATACCTGCACGTTTAAGGAGGACTTCTCTGCATAGAGGGTTTCCGAAGAAGTCGAAGCTCCCTTGCAGTGACATGATTGTATCTGCAGCTGCTAATTGGGTAACGGGGAAATCTGTGTTTCTCAGGCATGCAATAAGAGTATCCATAGCCTCTTCACGGTATACGCTCATTTTTCTTGGCTCATCCTAAAAATAGCACGAGGAAAATTAAGCCCTTATTACTTGTAAAACAGCATTTTATCGTGGGCAGAAAAAAAATGATAACGTAAGAAGAAACACAACTAGTTCTTATATTTAAGATATAGGGAGCGTCAAAGATTCACACCAGAAGATCAAGTTGGAGTAAGAGGCCAGCCATAACTGGACAATGATCGTGAGGAGCTGCCTGCAAATAAATAAGAAGAGTATGCATTGTGCTAAATGGTCCTTCTTCCTTTATAATATGGAGAATTTGTTCAGTGAATGTCCTCCTGAAGGGAACCCCAGAAGAAGTTATCAGACAAACTAAAAGGTAGATTAAATAATTAGATTAGTGTAATTATAAATATGAAATTTTTTACCTGTTTAATTTGACCAACTCATCAAAAAACTGAATAATCTTAAAACGCTCTCCATCATCTGCACCGATTAAGGTTTCCATAAGTGGTGACAACTCTGCTTTATCAGCAATATTCTTTCTGCAAGTCCCATCTTCTTCCATGCACCTCAATAAGATCTCTACTGCAGCAATCCTCTCCTTTGCCAAGTCAGCTCCAAAACTGCTGACAATAGTTCCAATTGCATTTTCAGAGAAAAGGGTATTGACAACCGATGATGCAATTATCTCTTCACTGCTTCGAGTTATCCTGGCAAGTAAAAGCACTGCAGCTGTTTTTGGCTTCAAACACATCGTAACCGATTCTTCCTCTTTCGTATTCAAAACCGTTATGAGAGACTCCACTATGGCCATCTCCGCAAGACTAGTGATGGGAGGGTTTAGCAGATGCAACAACACAACAGCCTCTGTCAATCCGTTCTTGAAAAGAGCCATGATACATTCTACATCAGTCTTCACACGGGTGAGAGTCTCGATTACAGCGTTGTCCCTTGACCCCATCTCGGCTAGAAGGAAAACTGCTGCTTGTAGCACCTGGGGCTCCACAGAATTGAAAAGAATCTCCATAAATCCATTGATTACCGCAGGTTTTACTAACATTCTGTGGATATCCACTCCAAGATTCACTCCTCTCCAGAACTTTTCAACTTGAAGCACCGCCATTTCCGATTCCTTGAGAACCTCTGACATGTACAGATTATTGATGGCACAGCGTAACTCACTCATCATCCCGTCAACTGTGGCTTGGGTTATAACGCTATTAGGAGAAGTTGAAGCCGTTGTTGACTGCACAACTGCCTCAGTATCTTCGTATGGACTCTCATACGGCGGTTGGACCAAATGAGGGTTGCGATCTTTCCAGCTTGCAATTAGTCGTTTGAGCACATAATTTGTTTTGGGAAGCTGAGTGTTTTGCAGCTTCTGGCGAGTGATGGGACAGGTTAAGTTCCCTCTGTTGAACCATTCCTCGATAGCTTTACGTTCATACGTTTGACCAGTCTCAAGAGTCACTGGATCATCAAATATGTGACTTGTTATTGGACAGACAAAGTCCTTGGGGGGTGCATGTTTCCCAATTTCATGCAGCGGGTTATCGAAGTCGGCCATAGGATAATCTGGTGAACTACAAATAGGAATAATCCAAGTTAAAGAAAACTCAGCACACCACGAGATAATGAAGAATAATGGTGGTTGTTAAATATTAACGTACCCACTAGATTGTTTGAAGATGGTTTGCATTTGTTCTTGAATTTGGCTTTGTCGAGGCTCCAACAATGCGATTTTGTCCTTTTCCTACAGGACACAGCTTTATCATCACTTAGCGTTTCAAGAACTAAAACAACTGTCATAGAAAATTCAGTCCTCCTTGGTATTTTTCTCGGCACCCTCTCTCGGTATCATCAATTACGTACCTCATTTTCTGCCTCAGAATCTGAAGAAGAACTAACCAAACTCTCGTCTGAAGAAAAATCGGCGTCAGCGGTTGAGTTTAAATAGACTGTCGTTGTCCAAGATTTCGAAGGATTTTTGGGTTTGAGAATTCTCGAAAAGACTCTTTGAGGATAAAATGGTTCCTGGGAAGATCTTCTGCTGGAACTGGGGCTCAATAGTTCAACAGATGCTTCCCTTTCGGACCATATTGGCTGCAGCACATCGTAGGGGAAAAAAAAGTGTGACAGAATGATTATGAAATGAAAGTGCAAGTATGTTAAAGTCCACCATAACGATGATACAAAACCACTAATATTTAATCAACTCTATTTTTCTTTTCTTCTTTTATCACATCATACTTACTGCAAACCCGCATTTATTTCTTTTATTTCTTTCTTTAGATGAGCATTACCTCTTACAAACCTACACTTATTTCAGTTTTTCATTCTCTAAAGGTAGATGTTATGAATGTCTATCAAACGTTTTCGAATCTAATATTCTCCTAATAGTTTCAGAAAGCAACTCCCATCTCTTAACTACTTAATAATACCTTTTTTCCTCTACATTATTTTTTAACCAGTCAAAAAATTCTTCTGGAGATCATCTCGTATCATTTTTCTCTTTACTTTATTGTATGTATTTTTCTTAATTATATATTGTTTATTCTAAATTAAAATTTAACAATTTATCAAAATACGTTTTCAACAATTAAAAAGAAAAGTAAATAATTTTAGATATAATTTATCTATTTAAAACATTCACTTATAATAATTTTTAGTTATAGAAAAGAATATGTATCCTATATACTAACTAAAATAGCAGTTATAAGAAAAATAGAATTATTTTCGTAAAAGCACCTTCGAAGTATAATTATTAAAACGTTCCTTTTTTAAGACAAAAACATGACAAAATGGAAAATAATTAATTCAAGCGCACTCATGTCACATGTTGGTAGACATTTATAGAGAGAAAGAAAAAAAAAAGTGATTAATAATATATATAAATTGGTGCATGTATTATTGAGGAAGCATCTTTCTATAGTTAAGATTAAACATGAAGTTATGAAAACTTTGGACAAAATTTCAAAATGATATTAAGAGAACAACAAATCATATCTAAGCTAGCTCATGAAAAGAATCATATATATGTAAGTTCGAGAGAAAAAATCGTAATCCAGTTAATTAAATAAAAGTTTAATCATGATTATAAAAAAATTTGATTCATGTAATTTATATAATTAATTTGAGAATTGTTTTAAACTGTCTGTATAATTCTTTTATTTATAACTAAACAGCTAAAATCAAAATCCTTAGAGAAGAAAGCATAATCAAAACAGAAATGCAATTGATGAAAAGAGTAGCGAATTGGTGAAAAGTAGATATACAACATTACATTATACCGTCCGTTCTCCAACAGATTCGTTCGCGTTATTTCCTCCCTTATGTTCTCCCTGCCGCCACCTTCAGCACCGCTCTTCATTATCAACGACGGTGGACTAATCCCCGCGTCACTGTTCTCGTTCACCAAAACCTCTTTGAAATATTCTGCGAGAACCCTACAGTTGTCGTCGAGAACCTCTTCGTACTCTTTCTCCACCTCCCGGAGCTTTGCGGCCTGCTCCTCGCTCATCTTCGATAGCACCTTAGCGCAAGGCAGCACCACCGAGTACTCCTCAGAAACCGAGTAATCATTTTCATGTATGGAGGTTGAGGGAGTGGAGGAGAGAATCTTCGTCCTCTGCTGATCGAACCAGCGGAAAACAGGGAAGAGGTGTAGAGAGAAGAGGCGTTCGTAGAGTGCAGGAGCGATTTCCGATCTAGCGAGTGAAGCGCTTTTGTTGCTGCTGTTGTTGGAGTGAAAGATTCGGAGGAGGCTGGTGGCGGATTCGGTTGGACGGTTACGGAGGGCGTGGGCGAGCGAGAGGAGTAGCGAGGAGAGGGCGAAGTCGGGGAGAGGGAGGAGGAGCTTCTCAACGAGAGACAGTGAGGAGGCGCGCAGGGCGGGGCTGGAGAAGGATATCGCGCTTTCTAGAGTGTCTGCGGCTAGTTTGAGGTGCTTTTGGTCGGAGATCGGAGTGTCGCGGAGAAGAGTGGCGATGAGGCGGCGCCGTAGTTCGGATTGCGAGAGGACGGAGGAAGTGAATGCGGAGGTGTGGCGGAGGATCTGAGATCGAGTGGTGACCGTTACGGTGGTCATGGCCGTGGGAATGTTAGTGAAAGTTCGGTGCGTTTAAGGGTACACGAATATGACGTTAACGGAAATAGCAGTTAACGGTTTTGATTCAATTTGCCGGAATGGGAAGTCTCGGGCGGCACCTTTTGAAATGACCCATATGTCCCTTGGTTTGGTCTCAGGCACTTACTTTTATAATTAGTAAACAAAAGAATGAGTCATAATTCATTAGAGTAAAGTAGATATTTTATATGCTAATGTTATATTCATCTCATAATCTATGTTTTGTCTGTAATTTCTTTGAACTTCGTTGTTTAACTGGTGATGATAGTAAAGAAATCGGTCCAAAGATATTGTGGTGAGATATATAATCCTTTTATTATTGGCGTCAAAACTATATTCAGATATTGTGAAAGGACAGAGATACCTTAATTGGTCTACAGTAATACATGCATCCAACACCTTAATTTGTCGTTTGTATAATTTCGGTTGTAATCACAAATTAATAATTTACTTTTTCTTTCTTTCTATATATATGTGAGACAAATTACAGTTTAAGATTAAAGAAAGGATGCAATTAGAGACTGAGGGTGAAGTTGAAGATGGCAACATCGCCCACAGCTGGGTGCAATGAGGAGTGGAGGAAGTCCAAAAGAGTTGGGCCATTTTCGTAACTCTATCCACTTCGAAATGTGGCGGCAAAACATGAACAAGGTGTGGGACCAGTTTGCCGCCCAGCCGGCTCCGTTTGACAGTTAATCGTTCTATAAAGCAGATTACATTCATCATTTATATATTATTTTTTCTTCTTAACTCAATCACGCTTCTTTTCTAATTTCTTAACAATAATTCAAAATCATTTAAATCAATATTTGCTTTTCTTCGCGTAAATTCCACTTGCTTACTGATTCACGCCACAGAAAAATATTTTTATATCAAATGTTAGCTATGCCTTTAACTAATTTGATTCTTTCAAAATTTTGGTCCTTTATTAAAGTATCGATTACTTTAATCACTATGTACAATTTACGATTAAAACACTCTTCAAGAACATTCTTCAGAAGATTTTTTAGAATGCATTACCGGATTGTAGGAACTCACCAGACTCACCATTCCGGAATATAAACATATTAACTGGATCAATCAATTCATAATGTACATCCAATTTACACACTTTGAAATATGATGTATTTTTGAATTATTAGTCCAGAATACATTATTAAATCCAAAAATATATTTCGAAATAATCAATCTTGCATTCCGATTCGTCATTCTAGAGAAATTTTATTTTCTTAAATTTTTTAATATAATCTCCTAAAGACTAAAGGAGAAGTTTAAAATTTACTGCGGTGAAGGAAGAAAAAATGGGAGTGCAAGAAGAGATGGCCCAAGAACATAACGTAGCCCGTAAGACCAAGATCGTAATCCATTTTTGAATCATAGGGCGTGTTTTTATACATCTAACTTGTTGACTTTCACTAATGTTTTGTTGACAGATCGCAAAGGACTGCAATAGTTAAAAAAGGGCAGGAAAATAAGTGGAAAAAGGTTATTTAATTACAAATAAATGCTACAAACTAAGACTGTTTTATCATTATCATAATAAAAAAGTAAAAATTAATAAAATTCATAATGCATAATAACAATTATAGAAGATTAAAAATAGATTACCAATAAGACTTGAATAAAAATATATCTTTTCTGAGAGTGTTTTCAGATCCATATGAATTCAAAAAAAAGATATTAGTAAAGAATAATTAATGATGACTTATTATTTATGTCATTCTTAGAAATATCTATTATAATAAGACTTTTTATGATTCTTAATTTCATACCCATCATAATAATATGTTTAAATTTTTAATTTTTTGAACTATCAAGTTTCGCAATCAGTCCACAGTCAACGTCTTCTTAGTCTTTCTTTCTAAAGTTTCATCACACAGTTATCGTTGTATAGTTTGTTCTCATGCAATAGCATCGTCATCCACTATAGTTTCATATCGTCTCCTTCGTATCACACAATCGCACCTCGTCTTGCATATTTTCCTTCGTCTCAAATAGTTGTGCCTTGTTTTCCATTGTCACTTCTCGATTTGTGTTGTCGTGCCCTGACAAGACTGATCTTGGTTGCACCCTCATCCTCGAGTTTAGTCTCTGCATTACCCGTGCTGGTACCTCACTTTTCTCATATAGGTTTCTTTTTTCTACAACAAATCTCAAACCTTTACATTTATTATTTTAATGTGTTAATTTGATGGTGATGCATATCATGTTTTGTGTTCTTCCACATCTAGCATTGGTCAAAGTTGATTGAGATAGTTTGAAGATTCGCCATCTTTCTCGATTACCTTTGTCATCCCATCTTGAAGAAGTATTTAGTTTCCTAAACCCAAATCATGCGTTAATTAGAGAGTAAAGAGTTTGTAGATGAAAAGTACAAAACAAGATTACTTAATTTTGGTGTGAGATAAGCTATGTTTATGTGTATTGTGTAATGGAGTTAAATTTGACTTATTATGACTTATACTTAAATACTTATCATAGTAAGTCAGACTTATTATGACATGTTTTCACGACATTGTAAAAAGAGTGTCTGTTTTGTTATTCTTGTAACCATAATATCAAAATACCTATAGTAAACTTTTTTTAGATGTCATAAAATGTTTTGTACACTCATGAAAAGAGTTTGAATATGACATGAAAAAAAAGATAAAAAAACATGAAGATTTAGAAAAAGAAAGGGTTCATCACATCCAAAAAGAAATAATTAAGGAATGAAATTGAGAGTCTCACACTATTCTATTTGTTATACGTATGTAGCGTGTCATCTTATTCGTATCTCACTATTTTATTTCAAACTTTAGATATTACTTGTTTAACATTTTTATTAAAAAATTGCCATATGATTGTATAAAGTTTGAGTGATTGCAAATCATTATTTTCTTATTTATAGATTTTGGTCTCAATGAACTTATCTAAGTTATATTTATATATAAATTTCATCTCCCCTCTTTCAATGGAATGGAAGTGATGTGATTTCAATTTTAATTATTTCCAATTTCTTCAATTATATGTATTTAGTTTATTTTTAAATTAGATATTTGATATATCTATTTTTCTTTTACCTTTTCAATGACTGAAATTAATAGCCTCTTAGACATTCAAGAATTGCATTACTATCTTATACCAATTAAAATAATAACAAGGATACTGTATGTGGGCCAAACTTTTTGCTTGGAATTTTATCAGATTGGGCCTTGTGATTGTTTTTTCACTGAGGAGATAAAACCTGCACTGCAAAATCCCGGAATTCGACATTGATTTCAACTTTTTTTTTCCTCTTTTTTTTTTTTTTAGTTTTACAAACAGCGAATTAGGTAAATATGTTATTATGAAATTGAATTTTTAAGTGATTTTGTTTTCTTGTTGAATATTTTCATTACCTTCTCTACAGGTATCGACAGTTTTGTAAAACATAATAAAAAATTGGAAGAATAATATTTATCAACAAATTTTATAATTCATACTCGCCACTTTCTTATTGAAAATTTGTATACAGAAATGTGTTTATCAAGTATTTTAATTTAGTCTTGATATGTTCCACTAAGAAACATATATTTTATTTTTTATGAAGTTCATAGATGATATAGTGATGGAAACAAAGGGCAACAAGTTATCATTATAGATTATCACAGTTTGGAAAAATTCTGCCCATAATTTTCAAACATAAATATCATCAAAATTGAGTAAGTTTTCAATTTTCTTAACAAATATAATTTTTCAATCATCACCATACATATTAAGAATGAACTTCAAGTATAGTTCAATCCTACAAAATCGACTTTTTAAGATGAGTTTTGCACTCATTTATATACTCTAGATTGGCATGTGAAACTTTCAACCAATTTTAATTTCCTTTGAAATTTTGGATTGAGATGAGAAGATAAAATAAAAAGAAAATAAATATTTGTTTAATAGATAGAAATAAATAAATAAAGTATTTTTGTTTATTTGGATAAACGAAAAAAAAAGTATAAATGCTTTTCTTTTCTCTATTTTCTTATCTCTACGCATCTAAAATTATCATACTCTCTTTCCTTTTTTATTTCCTTCTTTTTCTAATAATACACTTATCCAAACAAGCAAGGATTCATTTGAGGTTCTCTTTTATCGCAATTACTTAATAATTCATTGACTTCATAGAAGAAAGAGAAATGAAAATAAGATAGGTCACTCGTCAACGAACAATATCTAGACATTAAAAAAACATTTAATATAGTTAAAAAAAGTTATATCAATTGTATTTAAAAAGTCTTTCAGAAATAAGTATTAGCACTATTGTCATATATTAAGTTCATATATGATACTAAAAATTGCATATTTGTTTATTAAAATATTAAACACGTTTCCTTATTGAGTAAAACATATATTCTTATATTGAAGGTTAAATTTACACGATGTTCAAAAGTCTTATCACAAAAGAAGTTCTTAAAATAGATTATTGACTTTCAAATATAAAAGATCAAGTACTAAAATAAAATCGAAGGTAGGCGAAGTTTTTTTTTTCCTTATAGTAAAAGTTTTACATTTTGAAAGTTTCTCTAACACAACTTCATTATGACTCAATTAATTAAAAATTATAAAGAAATGCTTTAGAAAATTGTCTTTGTATATGTTATGTAATGAGAAGTGATGCCCTAGCCAATCTAGGGTTATTTATTCTGCTACATACCCTGTGATTGATATAACCGAAAGAAAGAGCGTATAACTATATATATTACCCCCGCATGCGATACAATTCTGCATGCGTGTTCGACTCTGTCGGTGAATATCTGTCTGAAGTTGGCACACTTTTTTACGTCCATTCATCCAACCAAAAGTTTTATGCTCACTGCAAACACTTTCAAAAGATCCATTTCTTATACTAAGAGATTTTAGAACTTATTTTTAAAAGTTTTCGTACCTGCATTAGTAATAGCTTTCATGGTCTGTTTAATTACTGCTATAGAAGTAGCAATNATGTGGCATTATAATTTGTTTTAAAAAATAATTAATAATGACGTGTAAATAGGGTAAAATAAAAAAATAGTGTATATTCCACCAGCATCAAGGCTT